ATTGAAGTGACCAGTGTCAGGTTGCACTGTCTAATTTCCAAAAATAACAAGGCCAGAGCAGTTTTCAGATATCCAGTGTCATTCGGTCAGAGGTCAGGTTTCCAGAAAACAATCAAGGCAGTGTCGACAGGTTCAGCATCTAATGAACATGTTGCGTCCAAGCCCAAAATCTTATCTTGGGAGATGTTATAGCCAGCAACTGAAAGTCATGTGTGCAGCTAGCTTCTCAGGAAGAATCCTGCAAAGATTCATTTTCATTACTAGTAGGCAGCTGGTGCTGAGCAGAGAAGTACACTGTGCTGTCTAGAATGTAAGTCAGTTCTCAGCCTTCTTCTGCAGCATTCCAAGGGTGCTGGTGACCCTGGAGAACCAGGGGTGGGTGATCAGCATTTGTCTGCTGGATCAGAACTGGAAGTGATTCTGAACCAACTCTTGACTACAGGTCAGGGAATGCCTGCACCTCATTTCCCTGCTGGTCAGCTTCTGTTAACTGTGGGCTGGTAACATGGGGCCCTGCCTCCTCTGAGGAGTCCTCACTGTCACTGAGCCCTGGCTGGTTCACAACAACCAGTATTTTTACCTATGGGGTGTGGGCATTGTCAGTATCAGGCTTTGAGTGCAGCCTATGTATGTTTCATTGTATGTACCCTTTCCCGTTCATTTGGTCAGATCAGAGGTTCAGCCTGTTGATGAGGCCTTTGATCTCTGACTTTTTGGATTTGCCTTGGGTTACCATTTGGGTTTCTCATAACATTTAAAAGACTAAACTCTAAGTGGCAGAAACTACCACCTTCTGGGGTCTTGGGTTACCTGGGAGCTGTGTTCCCTCTAAGTTGAGTTAATGTGAGCTAGCTCACAGTTTTTTAGCCTCCGGCTCACACATTTTTGTCTTAGCTCAGGAAGGATGGCTCCAGAGCAAAATAATTTAGGCAGTAGCCAAATCGCTTACTCACAACTTTAATGCCAGTAGCTCATAAAACAGAAATTTTGCTCACAAGACTCCACAGCTTAGAGAGAGCATTGCCTGGTAGTAGGTCAGATCTGAGCATTTTTTATTCTTATGGTTTATTTTTCGCTGAGACTCAAGGAGGATTACACAGTGTCAGACAGCTTAGATCAACAGGAATGGGACATCCAGGAAACAATTCAATAGAGACTGGGTTTACAAAAAAATCTGAAAATGAGCAGAAAACCTGGGGGAAAGAGCTGAAACCAAGCATAAGCATCTACATGTCATGTTTGATGGTACAGGAGTTACACAGAATGATAATGCATATGTCAGTACATACTGGACACCATAGTACAGACCACGGTCCCTGTCCCTTTACCAAATCATCTTACTGCAAACATTTCATTGCAGAATTCACAGAAAACCAGGAGAATTGCAGTCTTCCTGGCCTCCTCAGAAGAGAGTCAGTTTGGTGAAGTGGTTGGGAGCATGGACTCTAATCTGGGAGAACCGGGTTTGATTCTCCACTCCTCCACGTGCAGCTGCTGGTGTAACTTTGGGTCAGTTACAAGTTCTCTCAAGAGCAGTTATCTCAGAGCTCTCTCAGCCCCACCTACCTCACAGGGTGTCTGTTGTGGGGAGGAGGAGGGAAAGGAGATTGTAAACTGCTCTGAGAAGGGGCAGGGTATAAATCCAATCTCTTCTTCTCTTCTCTTCCCCCAGGCATTTGGCACAACACAGAATGCACATGAACAGGCAGTTGTTCTGCCCACTTGCAGGGAGGCACCTGCAGGAGGTCCTGCTCAGAGGAGCCAAGCTGTCCTGGTGGAGCAGAGGGGGAGAGGTGGTTCTGCAGGTATGAGGGACCCAGGCTGTGACGGCCTTTCTATGTGATGGTTAATCACTTCAATTAAGCCTGATAACAACAGCAATTCAAGCAAAATCACCAGTTAGGGTTTAACCGAGCAAACTTTCTGAGAGACTTATCTCTTCCAGTAGAATGAAATATATGAGGTCAGACTTCATATCTTGTGTCAGTAGAAAAAACAGTGAACTTCTTAGAGATAATGGCTTTATTTAAAATAAAGCATGCTCTTTGTATTAGGCAAGAATTTTATGAACAGGTGAAAGTTAATCATACAAGTACAGAAAATGCACACAATAAAAATCAGGTCTACTAACATTTCTCAAACTTCGCTAAATACATCAGCATTACAATTCTCTAAGATTTAGGCAGGTCAGTTTTTAAGTTGATAGGCAGAAGGCTATGAACAATGGAAAACCTGGCACATGTGATATGCTCACCCAATATAAGGTCTTTTCTGATGGGAAGCCACCAGTAGAAAGCCTGATTAGATCCATAGGCAACACTTTTTGCAGAGGTGACAAAGGAAGAGAAATAAAACTTTTGCACTTGAACATGTGAGTTCTCCAAATAAAACAATTGGACCCGAAAGTGATTATGCAAACAAGTAACTATACTAGATGGAGTAGAATATATTAAATTCTCTCCCCCCACCCCAAAACTTTAATTTTATTAACGAAATAAAACTAGGAGATATAAAAAAAATTGAGATCATACACAAACATCATGAAGAACCAAGCAAGCAAAAAGGTGGGGGGGGGGGAGAAAAAAGGAAAAAAGAGGGAAGGGTGACATAAAAGGCTTCCAATTTTCTCTACAAAAAATATAATTTTTATTATAAAGTTTTCCTTGCTTATATATAAAAAACAAGAACTCTCTTTTTAATTCCCCTTAAGCAAATTTCTTATTCAGAAAAACCTCAAATCTAGCCATCCTTATCTTTTTCATGCAAAAAGCCAATGAGAAGGTTCCCAATCTCTAATAAATGAAGTAATTATCTCTCCCTTAACCAATACTATGAATTTAACCGTAGCTACAAAGTCCAACTTCTTCTCCCCATTCTTCTACTGTAAGTATTGTTGGACATTTCCATTTCTGTGTGCGTCATTTTAATTGCTGTAGTCAATTATAGGAACAAAACCATAATTTCTTTCCAACTGATTGTCCATTAAACCAAACAAAAAACACTCTGGTTTCAGCTATATCTTAGATATCTTCTGCAAATTCCATGTCTTCCCCTTCCTTTTGTAAGAAATTGGCCAAAAGTAGTGTAATACTCTCTGATATTTTTGTCAGTTTCTTCTTGGATACCTCTCAGCCTCAGACAATATTCCTTTTCTCTCCAGTCCATAAGAACTAATAAACCCAAATGCCACTCAAGTTCTTCGTCAATCTGCTTTATTTTCTACAGCAACCACTTTATCGTTGATTTACATTACTTCTTCTGTGGTCCCTGCCACACGGCAGAAAAAAACCGAGGTGAAGCGCGGCTTTTACAAGCTGCGCCAAAGAACCCCGCCGCGGCGGGATCCCATGGATCCCGTTAGCAGCGCGTCATTGCTCCCTAGCACGATCAGATACCGGGGAGGAAGCTACGAGTGGGGGGGGGAGGCTGCCAAACTGCGCATGCTTGAGCATGCGCAGTACGGCAGAGGGCCGGGGATGCGGCGGCGGCAAGACGCGCCACCGATCCCACGGCCAGGATAACGTGGCACAACCGGATGAACCACCGAAGGCAGGTGGTTCATCTTTGACGTGCGGCATTGGAGGAAGGGCCGGGTTGGAGGCGAGAGCGCGACGCCAGCCAGATGTTGGCGTGGGATCGCGCCTGTTTAATGCGCCTCCAATTCGGCCCGCTCCCGGCCCAAACTGCCTCGTATGAACGGGGCCTCTAACATGCACTATTGTTCCTTCAAGCTTTTCCACATCAGCTTTCATTTTTTGTTTAGATTTCCCCAAATCCTCATTCATTATTTTCTCAAAAGCCACTTGTTTCCAAGATTCTCTAGTTTGCTTTTTATTCTGTGTCCCATTTCTTTGAGTAATTTCTGCATCATATCCAATGAGACAGACTGGCCTGGTGGGCCTTTCCTGTCAGGATTCTTTCTGGTAGACGTTACAAAATTAAATCCAAGATCCAAAGAAATAAAAACAGCAAGAGAACATTTTCAAATCAAATACTTTTACATTTAGCTGTCAGCAGTATGTGTACTTTCACCATGGCAACAAAGATTAAAAAAACAACAACCCCAAAGCAGGTACTCCAGAATGTTTTCAAAATCAGTTACTTTCATTTTTGACCATCAGCAATTTGTATCCTTTCACCATGGCAACCAAAGTCAAATAGTCCCAGAATGTCTCAGTCTTATCTTCTCTTATGGTATAATTGTCCACTAACAAGTAATCCTCCAAAGTAAATATAAGAACAGTCTCACAGCAGATGTGTCTTCTTTGCCTAAAAACTTTCACACATACGTACTTTCATTGAAAATAAAAGATTAAAAATTAGTAATGGAAAAAATAATTAAACCCTCATCTGTTTAGCTTCCCTGATTTCTCAGTTACGCCTTTTTGCCAAAGTTATTCTTTCCAAAATTCTTTTTAAAAATTTTAAATACCATGAGAGGTTACCTTAGCAGGGACTGTCTCTTTTGTCTTCAAGAAAATCTCTTTGGCTGAGATGATTATGTTAATATATCTTAAGAAGTGGAGCAGAATTCCATATGCAGCCAGGAGCTGGGTTCTAAATTCTAAGACCTCAGATCGCTCTTGGGAGGTGTCTGCAGAGCCTCTGCTTCAGCAGAAAACACCCAAGTAGCAACCTAAAGGTGCGTGTGTGGGTTATCTCTTTGATCTCCCTTTTAATCCAGGGAGATTTTGCCAACCAAAGAGCCCTTCTGGTCGGTAATTAGCTGTGTTGCATCTTCACTGCCCCTGAAGTCATCAGTCTGCCATTAAACCTCCCCCGGAGATCCTAACTGCCATTAAATTCTCAAAGCAAAGTTATAAGACAAAAGACAGCAGTTGTTTGGAATTCCAGAGCAATAAATCTACTATTTCTTCAGTTATACCAATAAACTGTCAAGGTTGAGAGGCGGTTCTGAACTTTTGGTACTTTTCCTGAGCAGGAGTTAAACTTTACAGAGGTTATGAAATTACACAATGCACACACATTCATAAATATAATTAAAACCATGAATATGTGACACATTTCCTCTCCCTTGTGTGTGTCCTTTGATGGGAAGTAAGGTGTGCACTCTGATGGAACCTTTTTCCACACTGCAGGCATTTGTATGGTTTATCCCCTGCGTGAATTCTTTAACAGGAAATACAACTGTCACTCTGACTCAAGCTTTCCCCACACTTCAGGCATTTATAGTGTTCCTCTCCTGTATGAATTCTTTGATGCAAAGTAAGAATTTAGCTCCATCTGAAGCTTTTCCCACACTCCAGGCATTTATGTGGTTACTCCCCTGTTTGTGTCCTTTGGTGGGAAGTAAGGTTTGCGCTCCGCCTGAAGCTTTTTAAAAAAATATATTTTTATTTAACTATTAAAAAACAAAAAACAGACAGACATCAAGAATACACCCCCCTCCCCGTAAAGAAAAACAACCTACAGTGTACCCATAACAACAGTAAAAAAGAGAGAAAAAGAAAAAAATGTGAAAAGCAAGCATATTAAGGCATTGATAGAGAGCACAACATTCAGCATAAATACAAAGAGAAGGAATTATTTTCCCTTCTTTTTTTTCCCTATAAACATGCATAATCTATATATCTAATACTGAAGGCGCCCCCGTGTGTGCAGATACCTAAATCCGCGCATCGGGGGCACCTGGGGGGGAGGGAGATTTTCGTGCACACTTGGGGCGGTCCCCAGGTGTGCACAAAAATCTGAAAACCCGGAAAAAATATCGGGGGGATACTTAAATCCCCCCAAAAGTGACAGAGCGTCCCCTGCACATGCGCAGGGAACGCTCTGCGAACTCCCTCGCCGGGGGGGGAGAAAGAAGCGAGGCCCAAGTGGCAAGCTGCTCAGGCCTCGCTTCGGAGCCGGCGGGGGGGAGAGAAAAGGAAAGGGGGAAAAATGTGAAAAGCAAGCATATTAAGGCATTGATAGAGAGCTCAACATTCAGCATAAATACAAAGAGAAGGAATTATTTTCCCTTCTTTCGAGTATCATGGGTCCCGCCCCTTGTTAATGTATAATTACAACATGATTAAAATATATAGAGAGAGGCTTATTTAACTTTATCCCATAATCTGAGGAAGGGCTTAAACATACTTTGGGTATTGTTCTGAGTTGTGTATAAAATAAAATTGTGCCATATTTCAAAAAAGTCTACAGTTTTGGCTTTGGATTTGATTATTCTAATTTGACTTGTTAATTTTTCAGCTATTGCAATCTGCCATAACTCCTAATATCATGTGTATAGTGTTAATAATTCTGCGGCTTTCCAGCTTTTAGCAACTGTCCTGCATGCTGCCATTAACATAAACACTATTAGATCTTTAGAAGTCACCTTTTCATTTTGTTTCTCCCATATTGTTAGTAGGGCCAAAGCTGGTGTAGTACAGATGGTTTGACATGTAATTTTTGCCATTTCTGCAAAAATTGTCTCCCAGAACGGTGACACTACTGGGCACAGCCACCACATATGAATATAATCACCTTGCTGATTACACTTTCTCCAGCATTTTTTGTTATTTGTGTTAGTTATTCTCGCAAGGCAAACTGGGGTGAAATACCATCTATGTAATAATTTCAAGGAGTTCTCTCTAAGAGCTATTGATATAGTTTTCCTTGTTTGGGTAAACCATATCTTATTCCAGATATTTTGCTCTACCTTTATTCCGACATCTTTCTCCCATATTATTTTCAACCCATTTAGCAAATTTGAGTCTATCTCAATTAGATATGCATATATTTTAGAGGTTACTCCTTTTAGACTTGTCCTGTGTTCCATTAAAATCTGTTCAAATTTCAATAGCTTTCTAGTCATGGTTTGCTTTACCATTGAGTTTACAATTAGGTAATGCAGTTGATATAGCGAAAACCAATTTAACTCTCCTTGCAATTTTTCTTTTAATTGCATCACAGTAAGGGGAGTCCCATCTAAATAAAGATCTCTCATTCTATAGATCCCTTTTTCTTTCCATCTAATATAACTTTCTGATTTATCCAAACATGAAAAATTAGGATGTAGTATGATAGGAATCAATGGGGATATCTCTGGTATCAGTTTATTTTTCCATTTAACCCAAGTTTTTATTGTAGTAAATAGGAAAGGGTTCTCTACCCGTTTAATATCTCTTTCTTTTTTCCCTCCAAAAACTACTTTCTCATTTAAATTTAGGTGTTTCCCATCTGCTTTCATGCTCACCCAAAACTTATCAGAAATTCCATTTAAATATGACACCAAGGCTCTTAATTGGTTTGCCTCATAGTATTTGCTTATATTTGGTTCTCCCCATCCTCCTTGATCTGCCCTTTTGTATCTTAAAGCCTTCATAAGTCTTGGTCTTTTACCTTGATGAATAAAATTGGTAAAGATTTTTTGCCAGCTAGCTAAATCCCTTGATGTGATATATATGGGAAGAGTTTGAACAAAGTAATTTAATTTTGGGAGTGCCATCATTTTGATAGCGTTGATTCTACCCATGATTGTCAACTGTAACTAGGACCATCTTTTAATCTCTTTTCTTATTTGTAAAATAACCGGATGGAAATTTAGCTGCTGTAGTTTATTTAAATTCTTTGAGATAGTAACTCCCAGATATTTAAATGATTTCTGATGTATGGAGAATCCTAATTCATTTCGAATTTCTATTTATGTATAGTATTCCAGACTTCTTATAATTTATACATAATCCTGCAATTTCCCCATAATCACGAATCTCCTTCATTAATTCAGGTAGTGCTTCTTTAGGATTAACCATTAATACAGCTATATCATCTGCAAACACATTAATTGTGTGTTCAAGTTTATTTATCTCTAAACCTTGAATTTGCTTATTAGCCCCTATTGCAATTGCCAGTGGTTCTAGTGAAAGGATAAAAAGCAAGGGGCAGCCCTGTTTAGTTCTTCTAGTCAGGGGAAAGCTAGCAGAATCAAAACCATTTATTTATACTCTAGCTTTGGACTTTTGATATACTGACTGAATTGCATTCATAAAATATTGACCAATATTTAATTTTCTTAGCAGTCTAATGATAGTCTTTTTCAACACTCCAGGCATTTATATGATTTCTCCCGTGTGAATTTTCTGATGAAAACAAAGGTGTGAACTCTGACTGAAACTTTTCTCACACTCTATGCACTTATATGGTTTCACCCCTGTGTGAATTCTTCAATGGGAAGTAAGAGCAGAACTGTCAGTGAAGCTTTTCCCACACTCCATGCACTTGTATGGTTTCTCCCCTATGTGAATTCTTAGATGGGAAGTAAAACTGGAACTGCCAGTGAAGCTTTTCCCACACTCTAGGCATTTATACGGTTTCTTCCTTTTGTGAATTCTTAGATGGCAAGTAAGGTGCACATTCTGGTTGAAGCTTTCCCCACACTCCAGGCATTTCTATGGTTTCTCCCTTGTGTGCATCCTTTGGTGGAAAGTAAGGTCTCTGTTCTGCCTGAAGCGTTTTCCACATTCCATGCAGTTATGATTTCTCCCCGTGTGAATTTTGTGATGAACATGAAAGTGCGAACTCTGACTGAACCTTTTCCCACACTCCAGGCATTGATATGGTTTCTCCCCTGTGTGCGTTCTTCGATGGGAAGTAAGATTGGAACTTTGACTGAAGCTTTCCCCACATTCCAAGCATTTGTATGGTTTCTCCCCTGTGTGAATTCTTCGATGGGAAGTAAGAGCAGAACTGTGAGAGAAGCTTTTCCCACACTCCAAGCATTTATATGGTTTCTCCCCTGTGTGAATCCTTTGATGGGAAGTAAGGTGGTCACCCCGAAAGAAGCTTTTCCCACATTCCAGGCATTTATATGGTTTCTCCACTTTGTGAATTCTTTTATGTGAATTAAGGTAATCATGGCGACTGAAGCTTTTTCCACACTCCAGGCATTTATATGGTTTCTCCCCTGTGTGAATTCTTTGATGGAAAGAAAGACTGGAACTGTAAGTGAAACTTTTCCCACAGTCCAGGCATTTGTATGGTTTTTTCTCTGTGTGAAGTCTTTGATGGGAAGTAAAACTGGAACTGTCAGCGAAGCTTTTCCCACACTGCAGGCATTTATATGTATTCACTCTTGTGTGCGTCCTTTGGTGAGAAGTAAGGTGTGCACTCTGACGGAACCTTTTCCCACACTGCAGACATTCATATGGTTTCTCCCCTTTGTGAATTCTTAGATGGGAAGTAAAGCTTCCAATGCGACTGAAGCTTTTCCCACACTCTAGGCATTTATATGGTTTCTCTCCTGTGTGTGTTATTTGATGGGAAGTAAGATTGGAATTCTTGATGAAGCTTTTCCCACACTCCAGGCATTTGTAAGGTTTGGCCCCTGTGTGAATTCTTTGATGAGAGTTAAGGCTTCCACTGTGCCTAAAGGTTTTTCCACACTCCAGGCATTTATATGGTTTCTCCCCTGTGTGAATTTTTTGATGGAAAGTAAGACTGGAACTCCATCTGAAGCTTTTCCCACACTCCGGGCATTTATATGGTTTCTCCCCCTTGTGAATTATTTGATGCAAAGTAAGAATGTTATTCCTTCTGAAGCTTTTTCCACACTCCAGGCATTTGTAAGGTTTGGCCCCTGTGTGAATTCGTTGATGGGAACTAAGACTGTTACTCCGTGTGAAGCTTTTCCCACACTCCAGGCACTTATATGGTTTCTCCCCCGTGTGAATTTTCTGATGAACACGAAGGGATGAACTCTGACTGAAGCATTTTCCACACTCCAGGCATTTATATGGTTTCTCCCCTGTGTGAATTTTCTGATGAACACGAAGGGATGAACTCTGACTGAAACTTTTTCCACATTCCAGGCATTTATATGGTTTCTCCCCTGTGTGAATTTTCTGATGACTATGAAGATGTGAACTCTGACTAAAACTTTTCCCACACTCCAGGCATTTATACGGTTTCTCCCCTGTGTGAATTCTTCGATGGGAAGTAAGTTTTCCACTCTCAGAGAAGCTTTTCCCACACTCCAGGCATTTATATGGTTTCTCCCCTGTATGAATTCTTTGATGGATAGTAAGACTGGAACTCCCACTGAAGCATTTCCCACACTCCAGGCATTTATATGGTTTCTCCCTTGCATGAATTCTTTGATGGGAAGTATGACTTGAACTCTGACTGAAGCTTTTCCCACTCTCCAGGCTTTTATATATTTTCTTTCTGTTAGACATCCTTCGTTGAATATTTATAATTGATATTTCACTGAAGCTTTCCCCACTCTCCAGGCTTTTATATATTTTCTTTCTGTTAGACATCCTTCGTTGAATATTTATAACTGATATTTCAGTGGAATTTTCCCTGCTTGCATAGCACTCATTCCGGTTGTCTCCTTGACATATCTTTTGCCATAGGGAGTCATCCCCCTTTAAAAGCCTGGAATTATTCCTCCCTTTAGGTGGGTGTTTTCCATCCTCCTTCCTTGCTGCATCCAAATATTCAAACTTCTCTTTCACAGCTGAATATGTATTATCTTCTTCCATCCATAGGTGTTCTGCTTCATTCACTGACTGCCACACATTTCCTGCTAAAAGAAAGGGATAGTTGTGATAATATGACACTTTCCACAAATACCTAATTTTGATCTAGTCCATGGGGTCGCGAAGAGTCGGACTCGACTGTGCGACTGAACAACAACAACAAAGACTAGCAAGTTTTTCTGAGTCAAGGTTCCCTTTGTTATACTTGATTCAGAATGGAGATCACTCAGTCTTTATATCCCAGTCAGAGGGCGAGAGGGGTGTCAGAGGTACTATTGCAAATTCTAATTAACTAGATTAGGACACAGGCAAAACGCTTAGGGGCAGAACAGAAATGTTTCGCATCTGTGAGATATGAATCCCTGTTCACCTCTGGGGGGGTCCACTGCTCTGAATTTGTAAATGAACTTAAGTTCAGCAGTCATGCATTTTAATTTCTCCTTGAAGCTTTTCTATTTAAGGACTGCTGCTCTTAGGTCCATTTATTCTTTTATATAGGGATTGACCTGTTTGTCCGACCAACCAAGTGGAAGGCCATTGCTGTCATTTGCTGACACATACAACCTTGGAAGATAACAAGTGAATGAACCCGAGATGAATGAACCTGAGATGGTATGCCTGGTGTTCTTAGGTCTTGTGATGGTGTTGTCCGAGTGAACTTGGGGACAGAGTTTGTTTCAGGCCCTAGACTCAGATTCTGTGTCCATGTTAGGAAAGGCATTGCTCTGGGTTAGGAGCTGCTTAAAGTTAAGAGGCAAGAAAAGGTTTGCCTACCAATGCCTATGAGAGAGGTGTATCATCGTCCGGCATAGGTTGTTAATGATGCCCTGAAATGGTTTTATCTGAGAGCTGTATGTGATCAGCAGTAGTGAACGTGAGTACATAAGAAAAGCCCTGATGGGTCAGACTAATGGTCAGTTTAGTCCAGCATCCTCTCTCACACAGTGGCCAACCAGTTGCTCTGGAAGGCCAACAACAGGGCATAGAGGACTTTACAAGGGAGAAAGAAGAAGGTAATTTGTTAAGAGAGAGACAGCCATTCATCCTGGAATATATGGCAGAGGGTCTGAAGAAAGATGATGATAGGAGAAGAAGGTAGTCTAATGAGAACAAGAAAGCGGAAACTATGAAGTTCTTTCTCTTTAACATCACGGAGATAAATCTGAGATCTAGGGAAAAAAAAGAGGGTTTTTTTTCCTTTTTGAGTTTCCCTATGCTCAGATGTCCTAGTGTGCTGCCAGGCTAGGGATGGTATACATAAATACTGGTACTGACACAGTCAAAGACGGGGAAAAATAACAAAAATTGTGTACCAACAATATTTAACAAAATAGAAATGTATATGCTGAATGAAGAAACAAACCATATGTCTAATGGTAATTCCTATGACAGTAAGAAGGACATCATGAACATACATTCACAATTGCATAAATAACTAACAAAGGAATAGTGTAAAAAGTCCAATAAATGTACAAATTAGGGACGCACCTTTAGTAGATCATTTTATGAATTTTGAACATGAGGCTGACTCAAGGTTTTTTGGTATATTTAAGTATCACAAAAAGAGATATAATAATTGTGATGTATCCAAACTGCTTTTACAGCAGGAGGCAAAGTGGATTTTTAAGCTGAAGTCTATGCATCCTAGAGGGTTGAATCAGAATATAGATTATGCATGTTTTTGTAGTTGGATACATTGTTGATATGTTAAAAATTTCTTCTGATATAAAGTCCCTGCTAGTCTGAGCAGACAGTACTGAGCTAACTTGCTGCAAGAGAAGGCAGCTCCCTTGTCTTAGGTTTTCCTCTTCCACAGAAAATAAACACCCCGCCGGACTTCTGGGTAACGGCTCAGCATTGTGGGCGACTCTCGGGATGCTCCTGAGGGCACCCGTCCTTTCTTGTTTCCCTTGAAGTCCTCCGGTCCTTGCAACCACTTTGGGCACCACCCAACCTCTCTGAGCAGGAGACTCGCTCGGTCACCCCGCAATCGGCGGGTTGGGGGGAGAGACTGTTTCATCTTGACGCAGGATCAAGAAATGGAGCGAAACATGGCTGCCATGTATTTGCTACAGCTGTGATGACCACCCGTTTTTAGAGATTTGACTATGCAACTAAATTCAGCACATCGCAGTGACGATGTGAATACGCGCATGTTCAAGTAAAAATAAGGAAGATTTCTTCTTAAATACCCCCTATGAATATTTCCATATTTGAGAAGAGATTGGGAACAAAGATAGTTGTGGCATGGCGGGGGTAAGAATTAACTTTATCTATTTGAATTACCAAGCTTCAAGAGCAATATTTACAGAACAGTTGAGTCATATCATCATTGCTGGACTTTTGAAATTTCAATCTTTATGGTGTTGGAATGTTAGAGTGAAAAAATAGCGTTAGTAGTGGATAATGAAGAGATAGACTAGAATACAGAAATTGGAGACCTTACTTTGGAACAATTCCAAAAACTTCTGATAGACGAAATTCAACAAGCAGTTAAAACAGCTTGTAAGAACTCATTTGAAAGAATTTATTTTTGGATGTGGAAAACAACAAAGAGAGAATACAGTCTCAGCAGAGTGGGGGAAGAACAGGACTATTGTCATGAGAGGGAAGTACACGATATGCTGTCTTTACCTGTGAAAAAGGAGATTGAGGAGATTTATACTAACAGAATATGTTGCCCAAAAAAGTCAGCAATTTATTTACCAGAACTGGAAATGGTAAAAGGAGAATTTTCAATTTTTTCATCTGAAAAAAATATCAAGGTGGCAAAAAAAAAGAAAAGAAGCAAGGGGTCACGTGTTTGTAAGAATAACAAAAGACTGATGATTGGCTCGTGGAAATATAGAAGGGAAAATCTGGAAACTAAACTTCACGTATACAAAAAACAGAAGGCATTTAAATGAGATTGAAAAAAAGAAGGATGTTACAGAAACACGAGGTGGGGAAAAAGAGACAAGAATTATGATTGGTGGTTTAGTATATTTTTCCAGGAATGGGTTTGGTAAGAATGAAGATGATTACACTGCAATTGTTATATAGGAAGATGAGAAGCTATGCACTATTGGTAAATTAGTAATTTTTTGTTTCGGATTATTTGAAGAGAATTTCTTTCCCCCCTTTTTTCTTTTTTTTCTTCTTTTGGTGGGGTTTTGCTATATGTATAAATGAGGGAATGAGATCTAACATAATGTAAAATTTATTTGTAGGAAGAGGTGGGTTAAGATATCTTTTTACGTATGGGTTTGATAAGAGTGAGAGTGATTATATTACAACTGCTATAACAGGAAAATGAGAAAATATACAGTATCCTGTCTCCGCTTTTTGTCTTTGCTATACGTATAATGGAGGAAAGGAGACTTATTACACTGTAAACCCTATTGTGGGGAAAGGAGAAGTTATTTATTATTTGTATATGCTACCCATAGTATTTTGCTTATTGTTAATTTTGTATCTTTTTCAATATTTTGAATGTGGGTAAATATGATCAAATCTGTTGTTGTTTTTTCAGGGTAGCAATTAGTAGTAATAGCATAGTAAAAAGATAGTAAATAGGAAGATAAGTATTAATTTTGTATTCTTGTATTTTGAAGAACCGGATAGTATGTGGATTGTAGAATAAAAGTAAGTTGTAACTTCTGGCTGCTAACTGCCCTAAGTAGAAAGTAAGCTATTGACTACTCCAATTAATTACAGTGGCTCTATAGGTATTAAAAGTGATTAATAACAGAATGTAAATGTTAAGATAGATTTTTTCATTTGATCTATAATTTTGATAAATTATTTGCCTCATTATTGGATCAACTTAGAAGAACTTGAAATACGTGGTGTGTAGTAATTTTCAGATAATATTATACGGGAGGAAATCTATAATTAATGTAATATTTCATGTATGATCATTGTGATGTGTAAAAATTGGCTTTGTCTCAATTTATTTGAAAACCAATAAATATATTATTAAAAAAATTTCTTCTGAAATATTGCTTTAAATGTACATTGAACTGAGTTATTGAAGACATCTGGGAACTTCGGTGCTGGAAGCATTTATTGCGTTGTAGGGGAGTTGCCCTCACAAGTAATGCGTCTGCATGGAGACAGACTGATACAGAAAAGGTGTGGAATGTTCCCTCTTGAATTTTGATACCAGTATGGGATTAATAATTGGGATTTTACTCTTTATTGAATTGAAGTTTTGGTGTCATGGTAAATGTCGTGAACTTCTTATAGAACAGATTGGAATGTTGGTTCTTCTTTGAAAAAGCTTCAGGGCGAAATGAGACAGTCATTGGCTAGCATGCTCGTTAGAGAATCTTCAAGATCTTCTCATTTGGAACCACCCTTCTGGAGCGACAATTTGTACATTTATTGGACTTTTTGCACCATTCCTTTATTAGTTATCTACACAACTGTGAATGGTGTAATGACCACTTTGGCCTTTCACCCTTCCTTTTTTATTCTTTTTGCACATGTTCAGAAAGCAACACCTGGTCTTGATTTACATATATACTAACTTCTGGATGTGTTTCTTTTTGTAATAGTATTATTGACCACTGAGGAAGGCCCATATGGCCCTATGATATATCCATCAACTGTGTATTTGAAATCATCAGCTTTGTATGTAAAATCACT